GTCAGTGCTTATGGGTAAAGTGTAGCTTTCAGGGATGAGCTCGATGCAAAGATGACCATCAGAGTTGGGTGGACGAATGCCCCAGCATGCAGACCAGCCCTGCAGCTGGACACAGTCTCACGCCCATTCCTCTCCTTGGCGACCACTGTCCTCAGGTGAGGACTGTTCTTCCTGTAGCTTTGACACAGCCACGCTTCCGTGCGTTCGTGTATATCCACGTCTGTGCTAAGTTTGGGTACGTACTTATTTGACCCTTGGCCTGCTTCTCTTTTAAATTTTTATGTGTAAGAAGAGAAAGAAAGCCGTGGAAGAAAACACAGAATCGAGCGTTGAAGACATGGAGTGCTCCCATCCCCAGATGGAGGAGGCCCCGCAGACCCGTGAGTGAACAGTTCGCTTATCTTTTCTGTGCCAGGCACACACTGCATTTCCTCCTGCTGGATGAGGGACTAACGTTGGTCACTCCACTTTGATTTTTAATAAAATACATAAATAGCTCTTACATTTGTATCGTATTATCCTAGTGTCCTCTGTGCATCCATTACTTATGGAGGGAAGCGCTCTGGTTTTGCAGACACGGAGCGTTTAAGTGGTGGAGCTGGTGTGGAGTTTTAGCTCTCAGGCCGGTCACTTCCACTCCCTCAGACTGACCCTTCCAGCTCTGGGAATGACAGCGAGGTCCAGGTCAGTTAGGGGCTAGGCTTATCACAGCCGCACACTACCACTTGCCTGAGTTGCCTGCTTGCACCCCATAAAGCCTGCCAACTGTAGGGGACAAAGAATGGAATCTGTCTTACATGGCCTGGAATGCAAGCTGCCGCTACAGGCGCTTCAAGCAGTGGAGAGCTCTGGAATGGCACTGGCAAAGGCACCCGCTGCCCAGGGCAGAGCTGGCTGGACTGTGAGCCAGGGTGGGGAAGAAACAGCTGGACGGGGTGCTCTGGGGGTCCCGAGTGCTGCTGTGCTTGACACAGTAAGGAGAGATTAATTTCTGCCCATACTACTTTTTTCAAAAAAAAGATTTCTTGTCTGTCTGTCTGCGTTTTGTTGATCTGTTATTTTGTTGGTCCTAAAATACTTCTTGATTTCTAATGAAAAGGCTCGTTTTGGGTAGCAGTTTTGTTTGGCATAAAGACCTGTGGAGAGAGATCCGTGATACATTTTAACCTCTTGGACCTGGTGCAAATGCACGTGAGTGCAAAGCAGTGTGCAGCTTGCAGAGAGTTGCCTTGCTCCTGGCTTTCCCAGCACGTCATCTCTTACGGCCAGGACACCCTCAGGGTTAACCGCGCTCCCCTGAGACTCCGGAGACCCCTGTGGGAGGTGTGGAGGACCGCACTCCGGAGGCTCCGGGGTTCCAAGCGGTCCCTCGCTTTTCTGCTGTGTCCTTTCTTTGCTGCTGTGCAGCTGTGCTCCGCCCGCCTCCTGTCTTGCGCATTTTGTTACTAGGAAGTGAGTCCAAGGAGCTACACATCCAAGCGAGTCTCAGCCAGAGGTGCGTGGGAACGCGATGAAGGATTTATATAGATAGAGCAATAGTCTCACTTTTGACAGAATCTCTTGGGTTTTAAACTGGCAGTTGAGTTTAGCAGAGGCCCTGCGCTGTTCGCAGTGCCACAGGGTCCGTGGCACTGGTGCCGCCCCCGGAGGAGCAGGCGCTCAGCTGCCCGCGGCGCTTCGGCTCCCACGCAGCAGAGATGTTTGTTTGGATAGATAAATGACTTTAAATTCTGGTGTGACTATGAAAACACGTTCACAGTGCCTAAAGTTTTAATGTAAGCTCCGTATACGGACGGTTTTTCCGTAGGGAAGTATATTAGCATTTTTGTTTTATGGATTAGAAGAGAGAGGGCTCATAATTTTAAGGACAGTAATTCATAGTTTTGGTACAACTTTCTAAGATGATAAAGAATCATCAGATTCTCCTACATAAACCCTGAATTGCTTTAATTAAATGTTTTATTTTCTCTTTGTAATTCATTTTCCTCTTAATTTACTATCAGACTATTCATTAAAAATAATACTGCCTTGGATGATAAAATGTAACTACTTCTAGGAAGAAATAAAGCATAAAACAAACATGAGTGTTGTTTAAAAAACAATATCTATATATATACAGACACATACACACATACACATGCACACATCAGTTTAAAGTAACTTGAAGGGGAAGGTATATTATTATCTTTGAAATTTAAAAAAATTTTTAAGACTCATATAATTCACTTCAGTGAATTTTCTGTTTTAGGGCTTTAGAGTTTGTATCATAAGTGTGTTTCAGGAATAGTTACCTCTGACTGCAGCTTTAGAAATGTCAGTTTCTTCATTAACAATTTTATTTTCAAACACAATTTATGGTTTACAATATGGTGAGAGATTTTTCTCCCTGTGTGATCTTTCAGAATGCTGTACCTAGCAAAATGAGAGCAACTTTCCTGTAATATCTATTTAGACCATTTTTAAAACGTGTATAATTTTCTTGATACACCTAAACTCATTTTGAATAGTTGGGGGTCTATTGTCCAAGAACACATTCTGAAAGCTTTCTGCGTGGGTATTGTGTGGGTTTTCTTAGAAAAAGAGAGTGGGGGACAGGGTGGTTTTCAAGAAGAACAGAGGCCTCTAATCCTTTTATTTTTATGCAAGGCATAATTTTTACCAATTGAGAAAATTTGGTTATTTGCTACAAGTAATTTTTCCTCTGACAAAATGATAAGCCTTAAAGACCGTGCATAGTCTGGCATTGCAAAACCATGCCAATATTTCAGAATTGTACTAAAAGTAGTTAGTGTAGCCATGATCTTTATGGCTAGCGTACTTGTCCCTCCTGTTCGTAAAATGGAGACTACTCTTGTCTCTCGCTGGTATTCTTTTTGAAGCACCATGGGTTTGGGGCCATTCCTGAGCATTCTTTGCGGGAAGCATGACCAGTTAGGAAATAGATATTTTTAAGAGAACCCTCGAAAGAAATTTTCCACTTGTTTTTTATCTTCTGCCTTACAAAATTAAACACCTCAAATTTGTGTATGTTAACATCATGAAAATGGTTATATTTTAAGGCACCAAATAGTTGTTTCTGTAACAATAGAGAGAATGTTGAATTGATACATAGAACAGTAGCTAAAGCTCTTAGAATGACCATATAATAAATTCCAGGTAGTGACAGCGTTCACTTTGAGTTGCAGTGAGAAACCTGAAGTCTAGATTAAAGGGAATGAGCGACAGAAGCTAAGAGTAGATCGTCGGAGCCATCTGTGAACAGGGTGCCTCTTGGACAGGGGCCACAGCATTACTTAGTGTCCTTGGTCACGTGCTTGTGACAGGATCCATAATTGATTGAAAGGAGATGTCATAGTATTGGTTTTTGACTTTGATTCTATGGTATCTACATCAGTCACACAATCAAATGCAGAGTTAATTTCAGAATTTTGGAAATAAAACCCTAAAAATCTACCATAGGATATTTTTAATAGAATGCTGTATCACCAAAATTGAAAAACTTAATTGCTAATTGAACCATAGTATTTATACTATGTATTGTGAGTGGCAAGAAAAAAAATACTCTTTTGAGTTCAAAGCGTGCTATAATTAAATTGTATAGAAATTGATTAGAACTATATCTTGGAAAAGTAAAAAGATGTTAACTTTTAAGTGACTAAGCCCCAAAGCAGAAAACTTTTAGAGCTGCTTACTATTACCTGTGTGTGATGGAAGTTCTGTCCCAGATTGCAAGAATGCTTTGTCCTTCAGGGAAGACCTGCACTTGGGTTGTTCAGGGCCTTGTCTGAATAGGCATGGCCAGGCCGCTCTCACTCAGACGCCCCCTCCCTCCCTGGCAGAGAGAAGCTCGGAAGTGAGAAGGGTAGATGCACCCCTGTGTGCCAGCGCTTGACTGCCTGGTAGGCTGTGGCACAGCCTACCCGTTCCGCTCCCAGAGCTGGGGGAGAGTTGGGCAGGGGCCTCTGTGGGAAGGGAGAAGTCCCCTGTCCCCAGAGAGAACCATGGGTTTACTCCAGCCCCAGTGCACTCAGCGAGGGGCAGTCGTAGGAGGTGCCAGCTGGGATCAGATGCAGTGCCTCTTTGGGAGGCACTTGACTGCCTGATTCCTGGTGGAAAAGACTGCATTTCTGCATGGAGTCCAGTGCTCACCTGTGTTAAAAAGCATAGGAATAGGCTTTAAAAAGCAACACATTTAAAGTAAAACTCCTTTCTCTCCATACCATGCACAAACTCATTGCTTTCCCTGCAAGGGGTCCATGCTTGCTGTGGTTTACACTGGGAGTTAATGTTTTAAATTTTACAGCAAAAATTTGGTGGGGGTGATGTTTCAGTAGCAGTGTAAACTGAATGTTATATTTTGTGTTTTAACCAGTGGAAGAGGCCTAAATACTAAATTGTACACATCATTAGCATATTGTTCACGTATTAAAAAATAGACCATTTCCTAAGATTTTCAGGGTATTAGCAGCTGTGCCTTTGTGCAGATTTCATCTCTACAAATCATCAGAATCATGTACATTTTAAATTGTTAATAATGTGTATAGGAATATCCGTGTTTCTATTTTTTGCTTTTGTAAATTAATAACTATTGACATTGCTTTGATTTTTTTTTTCTCTTCCCCCAAGGTTCCAGAACCAGAAAGAGAATCCAGAAGTAAATCGCATCTCAGAACAACTTTTCTTCATTTTCGTTTTATTTTTTCTCCCTTTGTGTTTCGTTTTGTTTTCATGTGAGTCTTGTGGGTGGGAGTAATAATTAAAACCTGTGTCTTTGAAAAAACATAAACTTTTTTATTAAATGAATACTTTGTACAATTAATAGAGGCTAATTTATGAATTTCAACATCTTCAAGTTATACTCATTAAGCTACAGACAGGAGCTTTGGTGTACCCAGAAGCAAAACTGCTATGGCACCCACTTTCCCGATCATTGTGCATTCCCAGAGTGGGTAAAATTGTTTGACAAAGTCTTCACTTTGAAGGAAATGCAAAACTTCAAATAAAGGTCATTTTTCTTTAATACAAATAACAGTTTGCTGTGGCAACCAGGTTTGGCTTGTGCTGATTTTGTTCTTCACAGTACGCATTCGGTGCTGCCTGGGACGGAGCACCAAGAAGGGCTCAGTGCGGAAGCAGAAGTGGAGTAAGCCCGTGCGTCTGTGCGGCAGAGGCATTCACAGCTCAGTGTTAGAGTGCAGAAGAGTTACGCACGCGTGCAAGCTACGCAACCAGAAAACAGCTGACGGGTTATTCAACGTGGCACCGTCAAGGGTTGTGTACAGTGTGGCTTCCTTTAAGGAAGTCCTGTGAGCGGGATCAGACACAGCCTGTTGTTCCTTCATACACTGCTTTCCTTATAGGTGCCATTTTTACAGTAAATCAAGCACAGTAGAATTTTAGGGATTAGAAAGTTAAACGTGCTATTTTTTAAGTTGTCTTGGGAACAGGCCTCAGAATTTTAACGTATTTATGAGCAATTTCAAAAATCATTCTTCAAAATTTCTTTTGTTAGAGAAGTTGGGAGAGGACATACTTTCTAATGGCTAGAACACTTAGCCCTGCAGTAAGTATGGTGTTTCTAGGTGGGGCATGGGCACAGTTTTATTTAAATATTTACATGTTTTAATATGTATTCAAAATGTCACTGGCATGTTAAGTTTCTCTGTTACTTAGGTCAAGCTTAAATGAGGTATTTCAGGTTTTAGAAAGTGAGTTGATTTGAAGAAAACATTGTCACTAATTGTACACGTGGGATGTGGGCATATCAAAAGTTGTTGAGATTGTGCCGGTGTGAGAAAGGAAGCCAACATGACGCCTGTGACTGTCGGCTCTCACTGAGGACAGCTCCTTGTCAGGTGGGGTCTTATCACTGCAGTGGTCGGATCCTGGGCGGGATCTGCAGATCTCCTTGTGAGGGATCTTCTTCATGCCACGTGACGTTCCGGAGCTGCGTGTCTTTTAAGAAGAAAGAATGAGACTTTGGGCAGAGACTTCCTGTCGTATTTGGAGTTCAGTGCTCCTCAGTGTTACGGCCCCAAGTTTATTTGTAACACCTAATCAGCTCTCAAGTTCTGTTTTAAACACACGGGTGCTTAAAGTAGGATAAAATGTGCGGGATGTGTTTTTGTATCTATGCCTTAGCCTTCTTTATTTTTCGAAACACAGAAACCTTTTGGTTAAATATTAAGGGGAAGTACCTTCTCACATGCTGTTTTGAACAAGTGCTGACATGTTCCTGACGTGCCGCGTGGCGGGCTGCAGAAGTCGGTGCAGATCTGCAGCCGCGGCAGCAGTGAGACCCAGAAGTTGTTAGTCCCCGCGCCGCAGCACTTTCCTTCCTCCGCTTGCACAGGTGGTGGTGCGCTGAGACTTCCTTGGCCCTCGAGGTTCATCAGCTGTGCCAGCTCTTTTCCATCACCCAGCAGGATTTCTACATGCTCCACCTTCTCCAGGAAGCAGCTGGTAAGCCTTTGGTGCCCAGCTAACAAGTACAGTAGCTTCTAGGCATCCTCAGCAGTCACTGTTGAGACAAAACGCCCATGGGCCAGGGCCGGAAACCCTGTTATTTCTTTGAATTGCTGAAGACCCAACTTGCATAGCAGTAAATTAGTGGTGGAGGAATAGTTCGTGTACTTGTGTGTGCATGTGTCTGTATTTGTACCACTGGGTGTTAGATTCTTGTTTACTCTAAGTTCTGTTTTAATACTCCATATTCTTCTGATCAAGATATCTTAATAAGTATGGTCATTGTTCAAAATTTAGAATTTATATAGAAAAGAATCAAAGGGCAAACCAGCTGTACTACCAATCCACACAGAACTACTGTGCATATTTTGACCTATTTTTTCCAGTTTTTTTATACTTTATCTTTTTAAGTATTACCTAAAACTTTATGTTTTGCTTTTTAAAGAAAATGTTTCCTATTGTAGGTAACTCATGAATACAATTTTTGTGCTTCGCTATTATTTTTTCTTAAGGATTTGTGGTTATTTTAATGACTTTCTTAACAGTGAATGTTTAAGCATGTAAGTTTTCAATATAAAATATTAGCATATTAACAAAAAACAAAAAAACCATTTTTTTGAGACAAGAGCGGTGTAGTCTGGGTGGTCTTCTCCTGACTCGGCCTCCAGGGCTGAAATTACAGGCATGTGCCACCGTGCCTGGCTAAAAATTTTTCTTGAGCAAAACTGGTCAGAAATCTTTCTCTGCATGTGTGAATAGTTCCTTACATTTTAAAAAGTGAGCCACTGTGTCAGACTGTAAACTGGAAAGCCACTGGTGGGTGTGGTAAAGTTATTTTGCAAATGTCCATCAGTTAACACCTTGTCCAGGAGAGTGGTTGATTGACTTTGTGTCCTGCTTGAGTGCTGTGCACTGACAGTGTATGTCCCGCTGTGATTTGTATGTGAGAGCCTGATGCCTGGTGTAGGGTAATTAGGGTCCTGAGGGTGGAGCCCTCACAAATGGGATCAGTGCCTTTGAAAGAAGTGAGGAGAAACAGGTGATCCTGTCTCTGCAAGTGGCCACCTGCAAACCAGCAAAAAGGACCTCACCAGTGATAGATTCTGCCCGTGCTCTGACCACCAAAACTGTGAGAAATACATGTTGTTTAAATATTAGTTTTATGAAGGTTAAGTTTTTAGTGATTGACAATGAACTTACACTTGTAAACTAGCCCTGGTGTTTTCTCTTCGCTGTGTTTGCATTGTTTGTGGAATAATTCCCACTCTGCGTCCCTTTTTTGCTGCCTTAGTTCTTGCTGTTTAGTTTTTGTTGGCTATACTGTCACTTCTGGAAGATTAGCTTCTATAGCTTTAATTTGTTGATCTTTTCATTGTAATTTCCGTCATTGTTTTAAAATGTTTTTATCCAGAAATCACAGCATGACTTTTCCTAGCCTTCTAATGATTTTAAGTTTGCAGTGCGCGTGGAATGTATCTTGGTGGGTCTCTGCCATGCCGTCAGGGTCGCAGGGCTGTTTCCCCAGCAGCTAACCCTGTGGGTACCGTGCCCTAGATAAAGCACCCTCCCACCCCTGCCGCGCCGGCTGTGGCACCTGCTTTACGCAGCCCGAGTTCTTCATCAGGGTTTGTTTCTGTACTTTGTGTTCAGCTTCATTGATCTGTCAGTCTCTTCTTAGACCAGCACAGTAACTTAATGCCGCTGACTTCTTAATTCTTATTTACTGTCCGAGCTGCATTATCAGAGTCAAGTGAAAGAACAATTTCACTCACAACTCCCCCACCACTCCCAAAATGAAGCTTCTGTGCCCTGGCTAAGTTAGTCCTGGTCTTCCTTCATGCCTACCTACCCCATGTTCCATGGGTCAGCAGTTGTGTGGGTGACCCCTCGGTGTGCTCTACGCCAACTGCTGGGCGCCGTAAGGGGCAGCAGCAGTGGCCCCTGCAGTGTGCGCTGACCACTCCTTACCACCACTGCCTCGCGCAGACAGCCTTCATCACCCCGCCCACCGCAGGTGCTAACGTCCACGGTGGCAGACGTAGCCTTTTGCACTTACCGAGTAGGATTTTGGCTTACTTAGGTTGGGTCTGTATTAGAACGTGAGCCGAGATGAGCCATGAGGTAATGCCGGGGTTTGCAGCGCAGAAGCAGGAAGTCTGAGAAGCAAATCCAGAGAGGGGGTGGGAGGAAGTGGAAGAGCTGTCTGAATCTCCTTCCGTTTTCTATAGCAGAAGGGAAAAGTGATCATAATTGTATAAAACGAGCACCACACAACAGCTGGACAAGTTAATTTTAAAACAGGAAAATTGGTGTTTAATACTCTCTCTGGCTTCAATGCAGAAATGAGTACAGCCAGTCCTCGGTGTCATTCTCCGTGTGGGCTCACCCTAGAACAGCCACGCCCGGGGGGCCGAGGGGAGCTGCCAGCAGGGATGCGGGTGCGCAGGGGTTTGCTCCCAGCCTGGGCAGCGGTGATGGCGGCGGGGCCACCGCGCCCGTGCACGGGCTGCTGCTGCAGCCGGCGGTTAGGGGGCGCTGTTTGGGCGGTGGCTGAGGTGCCCGGGCGGCTTGGCAGGCACAGGGATAGTGTGTCTTCAGGGTCCTCAAGAAGACAGTCTACCCCCCACCCCGGACCTCCAAACTTGGTCCTCTGGACTTCATTTATTTCACTTTTATTTTTTTAAGTTTTTTTGAGGCAGGGTCTCACTGCATAACCTAGGCTGGCCCTGAACACGTGACAGTCCTCCTGCCTCAGACTCCCAAGTGCTGGGGCTGCAGGTGTGCACCACCAAACCGGGCTTCACTCGCTCATGTAGAATATTTTGGTGCTAACCTGTGAGTCAGTTCACCTGGAAAGTCTACCCGAGTCTGCTTACTCTCATAGTTAGAAAGGCGTGTATAATCCGGTCCCGGCGTGCCCCAGTGTAGATTTCAAGTGCAGCAATCCTGGGTGGATACTTAAAAATTATGCCAAAAATATGTATTTACTGGAGCATTCTTTACATTTTATAGAAGGGCCACTTAGACAGTCCTTAAGATGTACACACATTTATGGTGGGTTTCATCCCTCTTTTCCTCTTAAGTTCCTGACCGGGCTTGATTTCCAGGTGCTGCCAACCCCATGTCAGTCTCCACTGGGCATGCAAAGTGTTCCCAGAGCAGAGATGGCTGGAACAGCATCAAAATAGTTTCCAAGGCCCTGTGTGTTCCTGTGGAGGTCAGAGAAACCGCAGCCTGCGGAAACCCAATTTGAGGTCAAGAATCACAGACACCCGCTGTTCCCAGTGAACTGTTAGATGCACACAGGAGGCGTTGGGGAGGGAGGGTCAAGCTGAGGAACAGTCAGGATAATACCTGGCTGGTCTGCTAGTGGCAAAATTGAAGGGAAACATGAAACTTTAAAACGGGTGGGTTTTTTTTTTTTTTTTTTTTTTGGTGTGATTGTTGATATCCCTATTTGAATGTAAAGTCCCTTACACAAAAGCAAGCTGCCTTTAGACTGCATTTACTGCTCTTGATGACTCCAGTTGTGTGTAAATATTAGAAAACAGCAGGGTCCTGCATTCCAAGAATCACTTGAGCAGTGCCACGAAGACAAGTGTCCTTACTGGTATTGTAGTCACACTCCCAGCTCTCCTGCTGTTTCTAATCTGTGCGCACAGCCGTGAAAAAACTGGACTGACATTTACAGGCACAGCAGGGAGACACTTGACGAGGGAATGTTAAAGACTCGCGGGCCTCCGACTCAAAGTGGCCACCACACACAATAACTCTTGGCAGGAGAGCCGGCCGCACTCGGCTGATGCGGAGATGAGCGGATCTGCAATGAAGCAAAGGAGCCCGCCGGCTCCTCTGCGCTCAGCTTTTGAGCAGCCACATATTTATTGCTGCCTCTTTTAGATCTAAGTATCTAACGAGAGACTGATTCTGCGCAGGTGAGGCTTTTCCCCCTTGGCGCCGCACCTTTTGGAGGCTCCGTTCCCTTCCATCCTTGTCCCTTCCTCGGCCCCTGCTAGGGTAGAAAGAACGTTTCCTGGAGTCTGTGCTCTCGAGTATGTACAGAGGGTCAGCTGCTTTCTGACGGGACTCTGACAGACTTTCCTCCCTGTTTTGTCCCCGTGAGCGGCCAGATTTGTATGCCATAATACCAGGAATGCAATTAGGTTCGCTGCACATTGTCTGGTTGACTTCTCAGTTAAGAGTTTCTTTCCCTATGGGAATAAGACTAGACAGACTGTCATTTGCTATTACTAATTCTGCTTAGCATTATCGCTCGAGCTTTTTGTTGTAATTAGCTATCTTAGTTGGCTCTTAAATTTTAATAGCCAATTGAAGCTACGTTTTAGCCAAGTTCCATATCTAAATTGCATTCAGTCCATTAACAAAGTTGGTTAAAAGGCTATTAAAACAAAAGCCAATATATGGTGGCTCGCAGTTGCATCTTTGCAGTGGTATTAGTGCCAGCCTCTCCCGCGTCCCTAAAGGAACTCTCTTTCAACAGAGTTACACACAGCTAGGCCAGACCAAGCCCCCAGGCAGCTAGACATTCAGGTGGACAGGAGGTTAGCACTCTAAGGTTAGCATTGAAAGCATCCCTGCCTACCGCCTTTTCCCTTCTGGGAAGGTTTTTCGTCGGTTGGGGGTGGGGGTGGTTTTATTTGGTGGATGGAGTTGCAGGAAGAAAGAGCCATTTAATATTCCAAATTAAAATTGACGGTTTTTGAAAAGTGAATAATTGAAATGATGTTTTTCTCCATTTCAGCTGATCAAAATTATTAGCAAAACCATCTGAGGCACCTTCTGGTGGAACTGTAGTCTTGCTGGGTTCAGTTTGTAAAGCATTCTGCCAGACATTTAAAAAAAAAAAAAAAAAAAAAACTGTATTGGAGCCAGCACAGAGGCTCGGAGCGGGCGCCTAATTGATGGTCCCCATTGTTAGCATGGAGGACTCCAGGAGACCTTTCCTTACCGGTCGAGCAGCTCCTGTACCAAGTCTTCACTGCAAACTGGGATTCTGGGTTGGTTTTCCATTTTCAAAGATACTCAGCTTCACAAATTTCTATAATTTGTGATCCAAGCTGTCATTAGAAATCTGAGTGGTACAGGGTACGCTGGGGATGCGATTCACCCCCGCATCATTAGAACCCAGGGAACGAAGACGGCAGGGAAGCTGAAAGGCAGATGTGCCCTGGCACCTCGACTCGCCGAGCTCCCCTGAGCCTCGCCCCCCACGTCCCATTTTCCAGTGTCCTGTTTTGAAATGAATGGTTTTTCTGCTTCAGAAACACATAGACTAGGAAAAAAGCTCTGAATAGTGGGCTTTTCTCTTCCTCCATCCAAAGACACCAGGAATTGTAGTCAAGTCTGTGTTTTCTAAGGGGGCTGTGAGTGGATAGGTCCCGCTCCCCTGGTGGCCCTTGCACTGTTAGCCCCTCCAGGGCCTCAAGCTCTGCCTTGATGGTGCTGTCTTTCCCCTCAGAGGCCGCTTGGAAGGTGGCAGCTGGGCTGAGGTGTGGCCAGACAGGAGATAGCTTCAGTGGCCCCAGTGACAGGTGCTCTTGCATCCGGGTCACTCCAGCCTTGCTAGGGGGCTGAGGCATCCTCTGGGAGAGTGCAGCCCGCCACACAGGAGACACTTCCACGCTGCAGCAAGGACCCGGAAGTGCCGGGGCAGGTCTCTGGCACGGGTGGCTCTGCCTTTATCCCAGAAGCTGAAGGGCAAGAGGCCGTTCATCCACTGTGGGATTGTATGCAAAATGAATATGGCATTAAAAATGCATGTGAAACTAATTGGCCTTTGATAAAAATAGAAGTGGCTTTGGAAATCAGGTCAGAAACCCCACGAGGTCAGGCTTGATGGCTTCTGTAGAAGACCGAGGCAGGAAGGTCTGCTCGCCAAGCGGCCCTTGCGGCTGTTGACTGATGATGGCCTTGGCGACTTGTGTGGTGCGTTAACCCTGGTCTATGTCATTTTTAAAATTAAGTTTATTGGTACATTTTAGGTATATATAAATTCATTACAGGGAATTGGTATGTGATAAAGCCTGGTCTTTTTTCCCGTTCCCTGACCCTCTCTCTCGCCAACCCCTCTTCCCCTCCTGATTTACAAAAAGTTTGTTTCCTTCTGCCCTTCTTTTCCCTGCACCTATGTCATTTTAAACTATCACGAGGAAGGTTGTTTTCTTAGGATATATGTACACATAGTGCCTGATAGAGCGATGGAAAACTGAGGTGGATATTTAAATTAAAAATACAGGAAAAGATGCATTTTCACTAGCCCCCTCAGAATAGTCCAGCCCACCTCCGCCTCCTGACATACTTACCCCATCACGTTTGCCACTTTCTGAAGCAGTCTTGGAAAACCTTTTTTATATCTTTACAAGTTTTGAACAAATACTTGGTAGAGACTGTTACCGTGTGCCTTCCATTAGAGGCAGACTGGGAAAACTGTCTACCAGGTCTGGCACTGTGAAATTTCTGGCTCATCCCCAAGGTCAAAATGACCGTGAGAGGTCAGTGGTGGGTTCAGGACATCAACACGTCTGACGGTGCAACAGCCTGAAAGAAGACCTCCAGAACTGACCTGCCGGGAGCAGAACGCGGGGTAAGAACGTGCCAGGCCTGGAGGGGTGCAGAGACGGGTGAATGACAGTGTGTCTTGTAGTGTTCTGGTTCTTTTAAACATTCATCTTAATTTTCAGTCACACCTCAAAGAGTCAAACCGATAAAGGTGAAGAGCGAGGCTAGGGATTTAGCTCAGCGGCACAAGTGCCTGCTTGGAAAGCTTGAGGTGGTGAGTTCGACCCCCAGTACCAAAAAAAAAAAAAACTAAAACTAAACAAAAAAAAAAGGCAAGGGGTGAAAAGTCATAAACTGAAGGACCTCAGAGATCCAAAGAATCTGAATAGGTAATAACCATTTGTTATGTTAAAAACCAAAAGGATTTTGGAAAAAGGAATTGAGAACCTTTCCTCCAGTCCTGGTTTCCCGCCCTAGAAATACCAACAGTTGCGGGCTTTGATAGCCTGGGGGGGGGGGGGGCGGGCGCACGCCTGTAACCAAAACAGTTACAGGTGGAAGTGGAAGCTCCTATTGCTTCTGCCCTAGAATTTGTTGGGACAGGCACTGGCCAAGCTGTGGGTTCAAATACCAGATGTTCACCCATTTGTCTTAGTTCCTTTTCTCCCTGCTGAGACAAAATACCTGACCTGCAAAGGTAAAGGAGGAGAGGTTTGTTTAGCTCCCAGTCTGCAGAGCTGTCAGCGCACAGTTGGCTCAGTCCGAGG